CTTACGCCATTTGATGGAGGATTTGTGGCGTGAATGTGCGTTGTATTTGGTCTCCAAATGCTTCTCCGTGCACCTTGATAATAGCAAATATGGGCGTGGGATGTGGAATCGCCCGCACGAGGCCTCAAGTCACACGCTCAATATGTGTATGCTGAAGTCGTCCTGTAGATGAAGAGCAAGATATGTGATAGGAGAAACGAGAGTGGGTCATTTCCATAAATGCGCCTTAATTTGCTACACCTACGCATTCCTGCATTGAAGATGGCCTTTCTATTCTGCCTCATATTGCTGGCGATCTCTGTTTTGACTAAAGTTAAGTTCCCTTCTAATTTCTACTTTGCTCAGTGTACACAATGAAGACTTTTACGAACAATATTAAGTAATGCATGTCCAAATCTCCTTCATTATTCACATGCATAACTGCATCACTCTGTACTTACCCACATTCAGCCACCACATTTTAACAGACTGGCAAGAATTGTAAGTAGTCACGTTATTTCCTAGTAGTATTTATTAGAGAATGAGTTGTATATTTCACGAATACGGGGACCTGAATGGTCCACATCACGTTAATAATTGGTAGATTTTGCCTATAATGTTACTACTTCCCCCCACCTACTACTACTACATGGAAGTTATTTCGCCTCGGCACCAATGAGTAGAATCTTTCACTTCTTCTCCCACCTCTACTTCTCTTGCTGACTTTGAATATGTCTTTGAAATGTCCACCTAGACTAGTGAACTGATATACACAGACACACACACACACACCGGGAGAGTGAATGAGAGAGAGAGAGAGAAATGCATGGATAATCACAAGCATTATAGCATTTACTCATTACTAGTACACTGATACACCGCACTGCCATGCGGCTCATTACTGCACGCAATTTGAAGTGCTGTTTAGCAGACAGCATATTCCTTCCCCGTTATTTTGCTTCATCGTTTGCCTTTGCGCCCTACGCCGCCTTTGAGTATAACATAAACGAGATGCGACTCTGCAAAGGATTTGTAGAATGGGGTGTTTTAGTTGAGCAAGTGCACATCTAATCTCACAACCGTTTTACGTTTCCACACCCACACATCACGGGTACTTGCCCACCTACTGCACGTGATGTCTTTAGCTGTGGGGATTTTCAACCCGTCACTGCTTACTTCTGCAAGTCGATTCATGGCAAAACCATTCATCAATCTGAACCGTGATGTCAGATGATGAGAAGAAGTGCTTAACAAGTGTATTTGCGCTTCACACGGCTTACACTGCATCTCATTTGAAATCTGACTTGTATGCGATATAGTTTACGTTTGCCCTTAAGGCGTTAGCATAGACGCCTAGAAACGCAGCCTCAACTTCATCATCAACCTCGGCTTCAAGCTCGACTGTGCATCACACTGCTCTGCATATAACAACGTCGTGTTTGCTACACAGGTGTTATTTTGACTGATACATGCATTGACGATCATGCCAATTTTGGCATGGATGCGACACTCTTAACTACCGCCAATGATCTGAGGCGAGGGGTACTAAATACCAACCAATGAATAGAATTGTATGTAATATTTACCCAAGGAAGTGATTGGAACTAGTCGAGGAGTATCGTCAAGCAGGTGAACGATTTACTTCGCTGAAATAAGTTGCACATATCCATGAGATTGTGATGTACACCTCCACATCGGAAACAAAAGCGCACTGTATCTTATCCCTACTAAAAAAGAGAAGTCAATCATTCCACATTTGCATGCCTAAGTGAAGCGCAATACCCGGAACATGTTCGCCGAGCAGGGCCTTTTGCATTTTTGTCAGAGATAACGATGGAAAGGAAAACATGAAAAGAGGCCTCATCCCCTATCAAACATTCGTGGAAGCCAAGTCGGCTCCAAAGCTATTTAGGTAAGTTTGGATGTTCAACAGTGGATTAAAGCAACTGTAGTACTACCTTCCAACCTTGGTGGCACTATTAATCACCCCGTAATCACTGGGATCCCCAATGCTTGCTTTGCACTACTCCTTGCTTAAATCTTCGCGTTTTATCTGTATGCAATATCAAACACCACAAATTGTGTTTTGGGATAGAACCTTTTCGCACTACAAGCACTAATGGCACAGCGAATGCACCAGTCGTCATCCATCCGTGTTCATTTAAAGACAGTGTGACCTCTCGTAGTGGATAACTCCTGAATGACAAGAAGAGGACCTTGTTATGCTCACTTCATTCTTGTCGTCTCTGGCTCATTTTCACTCATGCGAAATGTGATTTTATCTTGGGGTAAAATGAGACACAACCCTTGAATTCCAAATGGCTTATTTTAGAATTGGGGGCACAACTTTATGCGTAAGAAGTCAAACGTACACATGGTATACTAATTGCGTGGCGTGCCTATATGCATGTGTGCAAGCAGTTGAAGTGACGGCTTGTGGCGTTATGGAAAAGAGAGAGCGTCAACAGTTACCCCACACTTATATCTGCCTTCCTGCTTTCATGTACATGTATCCTGTCACCCTCCTGACCTTCCCGCCTTTGCCAACGTCTTTGTAACCGCTTGCACATCCTCCATGGGGGACCGTCTCAACAGCTAGTAAGCAAAATATTTTCAAGTACGTGACGCACTGTTTCATCTGAGCTTGGACTCTTTTCGATGCTATTTACTTTGCTTGATAAAGTATGTTTTGGAGGGTATTGAGCTGATAAAATTCACAACGACATAACTGCTCCTCAAAACAAATTCAGCTGATTCAGTGGGAAAATCAAGGCACTCGATGACACCTTGGGGCACTTTACCTCCTATAATCACAAAATGAGTAAATTCTTAACTGCAAATTTGCACAACAGCTGGTTGTGAAATGCCTGGCTGTGAAAAGGGTGGAAAGTGTTTCTGCTGCCAGTTCATGTTTCGAAAATATCGTCGTGGTGGTGTTTCCCACGGTAATGTCCTACACTTCAACCTCCGCTATTGACACATTTCTACAAAAGTTTAGGACAGTATCCTGATGTAAAGGATATTTGCAGTGAGTACACACAATCTAGCTGTATTCGTGATTGGAGTAATTGAGAGGGTTAGATAAAGCTTGGTTACCGAAATACTCAACCTCTATTAGTAGTAATGCTTGTCTTGCTCCATGCCCCTTTCCCTTAAGCTCGGCAGTCTGGTTTGAAATCTTTTCATCTGTCCTTTCCTTCATACTACCACCCGCCACTTCAACACATTGCACAAACAGGTCGTGTCACGAACGAATAAGTAGACATGATTTGGATATGATATCAGTCTAGGTAACCAGTCCTTCATGTCGAGAACACCCACATTGCGGAATCCACCAACAAATCGACTAGGCTGAATTGTAACCACAAACCGGACATTTGCAGTCCTAACACTAGTCTTTTCCTCTCCTATACAAGACTTGTTTGTCTTACCAAAAGACACCATGCCACATTGCATTTGCACACCGCACCTTCTACACAATCATCACCATACGACCGCTTACAGCCCTCTTACACTCTGCCACCAGCCATCCTCTCCGATCCGCCTGACCTCATTATTCACGCTTCAATTATGCAGCGTCATTCATCTCTCCACTATCGTTGGTGGCAGTGCTTCTCTGTAGAATTGATCGCACACCTAGAAAGAGACGGCTCTCTTTTTTCATGGGCCAATCTGAATAAATACGTTTCTGTTCTGTTTCACTGAATTTGCCGCCCTCCTACTGCTACCTTAGCCCCGGAAATGTAAATCCCCAGCCGGATCGTGACGCCCCAACAACGAGATTCCCACATAGTCAAGAAACAAAGGAAGCATTTAACAAACAGAAGAGCGACAGTAGTGGGCAACACCGCCACAACCCGCGATGCGTACCCCAACGTCAGTTACAATGCCCCTCCATATCCAGCCAGAAAATGACCATCACAGCCCTACTCCACTCATCACATCAAGTGACGTCATTTGGGTTGAAAGCCTGAAAACATAAGATGAACTAGCCACACTAATCCAACTTTATTGTACACAAATCGGAAATGCACGATTTCTGCATCGGAGTATCTACTCTTTACAATAGTCCTTGAACTCCTCCAGGAAGGACCGATACAACTTGTGCTCTTCCGCCGTGGCGAAATCCTGAACTTGACGCTGAAAATCGTAGTCTACACCTCGTTCAGTCAGGAGACGCATGATGTGGTCATACATATTCTAAAATAAAAATAACTAAATTACTATAAATATGGATTATAGTGAACACAAGATGAACCCATTCCTACATCAGCGAACAGGTCGGTGTAGACAAAGTATCCAGGAATGTTTTCCATTTCGACCATATCCACTGAGAAGGTAGCTAAAAAAGGTAAGTAGATAAACTTCGCATACGAAGGTTTGAAGAATCTTGTTCCGAGCTAGCAGCCTCTTCAGCGGAGGATGGTAAGGAACAGTGGAACAGAACCGACCGACCACTGGGCTTTCTGAGTCGAATTTTGAGATCAGGACGAGCCTCCAAGGGAGAAGCCTCCTCCTGATCCTTTTCTTCAGGCTCCTCATTTTCAACATCTTCGGGCGCAATACTGCCGGCGAGATCCATTTCGACCTCAAGAACACTAGCAACTGCGTCAGAAGTACAACTAATCCTACACTCCATCAGGGAAAACTTTCTTTAGGACTATGTTTGTTCCATCTTGCTTATCAACTTCAAAACCTACAGGGGGTCTGCAAGCAAATGAGTTTTCTTTTTCTTGCTTGATTTCTTCAGTCAAAATCGCCGAAAACTGTCTATCAACTATAGGAAAGTATAGTAAGGCGCATACACCATACCATCTGATGAGAAAAATCTTGATTTTAGAGCAGAATTGCAGTAAGTATAGGACTTTATAGGTCGAAAACTACAAAAACATCGAGAGCATCTCGCGACAGCTCCTAAGGCAGCAGGAAAGCGCCGCACAATTGCAGACATGCCTGGAATCAGATTGCCCGCGGTAAAGGGACTCGTAAAACAATAACCTGGCCAGTAAATTTCTTACCTAGCATTGGTTTTATTTTTACCTAAGACAAATTTAAGTTTGTTCACAATTTTTTTATTGTTTTATTACTTTTTATATTATCACACTTGGGTTATCCTTTACTGCCCAGACAATTGGTTCATTCGTAATCGCGGGAACTGTAAAAGCAGCTCGTGATCGGATAGATGATTGATGTGGGTCTCCACCACTTATCGGTTATTTTAATCTAAAGCTACCGCGTGTCAGTTTGTTCTTCCTCAATTTGCATAATTTGATGTATTGGGTGCGATATTTTGTCTCCCCCACCTGACACTCCGACGCCATCTTGTCTTACATGAAATTGACAGGCTTTTACATGTTTCTGTTCGGCTTAAATAGCTCGTCTATTTTGTCTCAGCACCCATTTTATAATACGCAATTTTTACTCTTATTACTTTCATTCTCTCCAAAAATTCGACTGGTGTCAATAACGCGAACGTCCCTTATGTCTGCCCTACCTTTTAATTGGACTAAACGTAGTTTGTTGTGCGTGTTTCTGTATCTTGAACACTTCCCAAATTGTAGGACTCAACTTTCTGTCTCAGTCTCAGTGGTGGTGCTAAACTATCCATATTCAGCAACATCCCATTTTTTTATTAAAAACCAAAATGGTCCTCACTTAACTTCGTAGTATTGGGTAGATCCCCATGTGCGAAATTCGGATTATTTGTGTAAACTGTCTATTTCGTTCCCGTTAATATTGGTCAGCTCAAGTGCCTTTTTGAGCATTTAGATACCATGAAGTTTTACACTTTGTTTCTTTTGGACACCTCATCTAAACCCATTTTATGTATGCAAACCTTCTTTTTATATTTATGACTTCTCACGTTGGTAGCCGCCCTCATCGTAACTGAGTTTGAATCCCGTTCGCTTTAAGCCACAGCTCTGTCACTGATAAGCGTGTATCCCTCCTTCAAGCCATATGGTACCCTGTTCTCCTTATCACTCTCTAGTAGTTTTTGTCAACGGGTTATTGGTAAACAAAGAACATGTTATTGGTTATTTACGTGAGCCTTTTTGGTTATCCTTTCATAAAGTCATGCACGAATAATGTAAGCTGGATAGCGCACGCATACACAAGTTTAAATACCCCATGATCTTTGTACCCGCTCTCAATAACTTCTAGGCTCTAACCTCGATTGAGTGGGCTTGCAAAGAGCTCTATACCACCAGCGATCCGGCCGTCCGTATGCAGGCGGAGAAGACTTGTACTGGCATCTGCGAGCGCCCTGATTGCATAGCCACGTGCAAGAGCCTTCTGGAGCGTGGTGACTCCTGCTATTCCCAGTTTATTGCCGCCTCTACCCTCACAAAGTACATTTGCAACCGCGATACTGTAGTGCACGTCAATTTGCGTCTTCAGTTGCGTAAGTTCTTACATTGTGCTCTCATTCGACGACCCTGAAATTTAGGCAACTTTGCCCTGAATTACCTTGCCACTCGACCAGGTCTTGAGTCGATTGTCCAGCAAGCTCTTATCGCACTCATATGTCGTCTCACAAAAATTGGTTGGTTTGATTCAGCTGAGAATGGGCCTGAGTATCCTTTTCGGGACATCTTTGAATCCGTGAAGAGCTTCATCCAGGTGGGCTTTTTCTGTATGTACCCTCGATGAGTTTTACTTGTCCTTTTGACTCCGGTTTTTGCTTTAGTCGGGACAAATCAGTGCCATCTTGGTTGGTGTCAAGTTATTATCGAGCCTTGTCACTGAAATATGCCAATCGACGGAGGTAAGCGTCGAATTCATCCATTTGATCGATGAAATAAAGGCCATATTCTTTGCAATTTATTCCCATTTCCTGCATTAAAGAATTTCTACGTTCAACACGTGATTTATGATTTGTTAACTAGGGTTTATCCTAGGCTATTTACGGCTGGTTAGGCACCTCTTTGTTCGTTCACACCTGGCTTTTTGGTTCTCTACGAGCATGGGCACTTGATGAAGTGTCTCGTTAATTCCGTCGTATCTTTTATCTTTCTTATTGAAATGTTTCGGGTTAGGTGGGGCTAGTCCATTAGATCAGAGTAAGGTGTGAAAGCTTTTCATCACAAATTACAAATGTTCTTGTGTGAATACCGAAGACCCACTACAAATGTAAGTAACGAGGTTACCATTAGCAGTCACACGCTGTTACACCACACACAGGCTCCCCCTGCTGTTGACTATATCTGAAGGAACAAGAGGTTAGTGTAAAGTAGGTAATACTATTTTATCCTGTTAATATTGCCTTGTTTTACAGTTGCCACCTTGGGTAAGTCATGCGGTCTTGTCGTGGTAGATTTCCCTGCTCTTCATTTGTATCTCTCTCCAATTTCTAGTTTTGCACTTTTGCTATAATTTTCTTCATAGACGGATTTAGCTCGCGCTACGTTTTTCGTGCGGAAACTCCTGGTGTCGTTTAGAGACCTCGTCCTCTTCCCCATCTTTCAACTGGGCCTCGATCTTCTCCGACAGACTGATGTTAATTTGAAGTCTCTAACAGTCAACGACCAGGATCAAGTGTGTCTTTAATATCATTATGCTCTAGTAGTATACATGCGTCTATTTGCTTTTCTGTATATTAGGAAAAAAAGCATGGTATAAATCTGTGAATTCAAAATTAGTGAGTAACATACTACTTGATGCGTTGGATTAAAGACGGGTTCTGACAACCTACTCTGTTATTCGTAACTTAGTTTGCTTTCCGTGAATCGAGGGTTTTGTACTTGTTTTGAACCGCAATAGGGGAGCATTCACTAGCTGTGTGCCGCTCAACGCAGATTGGTGCCCTACAGCATGCAATCACTTCGTAGAAAAGCTTGCCTAAAGGCAGTCACCGCGGTAACAATCAAAGTTTAGTCTATTTCAGTTCCCTCCAGCTGCTGGGAGTGTGAAGGAGGTCATATTTACTCGGCTGATCCACATATTATCATAGCATTACCGTAGGAAACTCCATAATGGTTGTTCAACCCTCATGATGCTTCGATTGTGAACTGGTTTGTAGAATAACACGAGTTTGGGGTGCTTGAGAACGTAGGCTTAGTCTCAGTAGCTCTCCGCCAATTCAACTATTCTTCACTTCATGTCTTCTTTGGTGACGCCTAGACTTGATATCCGGCTGATAAAATCAAGATTATTTATTCGGGTTAAGTTTGCATTGCCGCTGCCACCAATATAGTGTCAATGTTCTCTTTGAAGACGCTGTATGGTCGAATGAGTTTGGAGAGGGAAGATTGACGGTCTATTAACAGAAATATTCGGAAGATGTTGTTGTCATCAATTGCAATTGCTTTTTTGCCTTTAGCTGCAAGTGATTCAGCACACTCTGGCGCTTGTTCTGGCCTGCCTGAATTACGACTTTGTGGGTACAGCCATCGGTTGCGCAGGTGACAACGGTAGTGGAAGTCCCTTCACCTCAGACGACATGGCCTCCGTACAACTACCCGCCGCGTGGCGACCGATCTTCCTCGACACCAACAATGTGGATCTCTTTTTCCGCCTCTTTGCCGGTCTTCCTCAATCTCCGGCTTCGCCTAATCTCCGTACTCTGGTGAGTGATTTCCCTGCTTATGATTCGTCACGGGTAGACATACCTAATATCATTTTTGAAGCTTTAGTATCGTTCACTTAAGTGTCTTGGTACTGAGTGGCCCAGCGTCCCATCATTTAACCGTGGAGACAAGTAAATAGCCTTGGGCCCGTGTTAAAGAGACATGTAGGGTTGAAGTTTGGCATGGTCGCTATCGCAAACAAAATCTGATTTGCTGGGCGGTTATATGCGAGTTAATTATTTGAAAAGTACTGTTTCAAGGCTAACATTTCTTTGTTGGCATAGCATGATCCATTTGTACACATCCCCTATTTGGTAGAAATAAAACCGGTGGTGTCAAGAGTTACGACACTTCAGTGTAGTGAACGAATGAAATTCTAAGATTCGTCATTATCAAATATGATGCATTTTAGTGATCACGTTCTGATAGTAGGATTTCACAAGATGCTGACCTGAGCATTTAGGCATGGATCTGATTCTAAAAGGTCGGCGCTCAAATTAGCTCTGAAAATGTTTGTGGTGCGGCAATCTGGAATCAGGTTTATTTTCAGCGCTTAGAAGGGAGAAGGCAAGCAAGCTGGCCTCTTTGCTACCGGCGTGGAAGCCGATTGGAAGAGATTGAAAGACTCCTGTGGTAAATTGAACTACTAAGGTAAATAATTTGTCTCGACATCTCCCCTTTCGAGTATCGTCTCTGACGTTCCCTGTGGTTAAACGAGCGGTGTAGAAGCTAGTTTCTCGTAACACTTGCGTAGCATTTGGTGATGTGGGCTTGGAACGTCCTATCCGGGTCTGTTATGAATCACAAATTGATGGTGTATCATGTTAAAGAATCCTTTCAATTCTTGATAATGACGATTTCCTTGTTACTGTCGAAAATAATTCGGAATTATCTTGAGTGATGGGAAAACTTGCTTATATCTACCTCAATTGGTAAGAGGAAGTTGCGGTGAAAGCCAGGACAGTGGGCCCAACCCACATGCTTATCAAATGGCAGACAATAGGCTTTGAAGACTGTCAATTTGTCCTCAACTTTTTGCGCTTTACAACAGCAGGCCGTGCATTTCAGACCTTTTTACTGACTGATTCGTGGTAAAAAAATAGCCTGTGCATTCCAAGGCTAAGCAAACGAACGTCGTTGGTTGGTTCCAAACCATCCCCTCATCGTTCGTCCGGTACTTCTAGTACACGCGCCACATCGTTCACCGTCATATGCGCACGGTCAGTTGATCGGAAGTTCCATCCTTACAAGACTGTGCAGGGCCGCATTCTCCATGCCGCAAAGCTTACCCATGGGGAAATTTACACTTTAGGTGGGATGAGAAGGCGATACTGCCTCACCCTCCTTATTCACCTGATAATTTTTATTTAAGTTCTGATTATCACGACGCCTTAGCGTTAGAATATTACACGATCACATGTGAAGTAGGCAGCTAAGCACTATGAGAGCAAGTTTTTTCTTGACTTCTGCAAGCAAAACGTTGCAAGAAGGGGGGAATAGCGGCAGGCCTGTGTCCCATAAGGCAATTATTCCAACAAATGAAACATTCTGATGAAATCCGCATTAAATTTATTTGGCCACCTTATGCTTCCGAGGGTGAAAATCGCTCAGAATACTGTAATATAATCTCTACTGTGGGTTTTCCTTCATGCCGAGAAAGACAATCGGTGATTTTTGTCACACTTAGTCACTTACTCTTTTTAAATCGCATCGTAGGGGATCGTTTGGCTTATCGTGGTAATATATCCTGAAATAGATTTGTAAAGTTATGTTGTGTGTCTAGTCTGTTCATTTTCATTCAGTCGCCTATCTAATCTTCAAATAAGACTTGTGATCCAGTTATTTCAAATAAATACTAAATGCTTCATTGCTGGTTATGTGAAACTCAAGATAAGGGTAGAGGTGAAGAGCCGATGCAATTTCGATAGTCTTTTTTATTGTGAAACACTTACAACAGACATCCTTCTTTTCTACCGTTTGGGTGTAGTCTCTAGCCGTGAAAATTGTGATTTCCGTCCATTTGAACTGGGCTCATTTACCGATTTGATCAATTTAACAATGCCTGAATCATCCCTGATGACATTATTAGGTGTACTTGCCTCGAAGCAGACATGTTTGACATGACTAGAGCTTCGTGTCACCGTCGTAAAGAAATCACTTGGTACTCGATAAGTTCGTGGAGTCAAATGTTCAATTAAAACACTCTAAGCCCTAAAACAGTAATCACGAATATCACCTTCATTACGTAATCCATTGTTTTATTCGTGTGTCCCCTTAGCCGCTATCCTGCCTAGTTCAAATAACTAGCATTCGGAGGACCCTCTTCACCAACGACGAGCGGCAGAACTTTCTCAACCCTCTAATGGTTGGCTGTCTGGAGGTACTGCGTCGACGAGACAGCCTTCTCTGCGATCCCACCGTCTACCATGAGTTTTGTCGCCTCCTTTCGCGCATGAAGATCACCTTCCAGGTGGGTGAGCTCATGCAGGTCTCCGTATACCCTGAGTTCATCAAACTCGTCACTGATCTCACCACCCACAGTCTCTATGTAAGTCGACTGCTTCCTATTTGTGTGGTCTATTCTTTTTTCATCCAAAACTTGAAATTGTTCTTTAACGGGATTTTTAACCCGTTTAAATCTAGTCTTTAATCGTTCATGATGTTTCAGTACCGAGCCATCAAAAAATTTTCCTTCTTTTTGGTGGAGTTGCTTACCGTTGCAACCAACATAGAATGGTTGAGCTATCCTTGGGGGTGTTAAGTGCCACACATCTGGACTCACTTCATTCACTTGATTAAAGCCGATGTGGTTTTGTGCTCTCTTTGTGGTTATGAGTCCTCGCAGATCCAGTCATTCACGGCGGATGTCCTTTTTCAGTGCTCTTTTGATGTGGTATCCAGTTGACGTAATAGAAACTGCATTTCCCTTTGTGCATCGCTCGAGTCATCTCTGAAGACACTAAAAGGTGTAAGAGTTTAGAAGTAGGACTTAGTAGCGTAGATAACGTTACTAGGGCTCTATGCTATCGGTGTAAGAGTTGAATCGCAGAAAATCAAAGCCTTTTCTGGTGTACCATTGCAGAACTTCTCCGACGATTCGGAGTTCAACAACTCCAACAGCCTACATTACCTGCTTGCGCTTTGGCAACGCTTGGTCGCCAGCATCCCCTACGTGCGCACCTCCCAGCCCTACCTGATCGACACTTACGCTCCTCAGGTGACGCGGGCCTACATTGAATCGCGTCTCGCCGGGGTGCCGCGCTACGTGGAGTCAGGGTCGAAGGTAAAGCCACTGCGCGTGATCAAGAAGGCTGCGGCAAATGGTGCTGGTGCCGACAAGGCTGGCGATCAATACAGCCCCGATCTGGTAGTGGGAGCCGGTGACGGTGCCTCCTGTCCCCTAGATGACACCATGACTCTCACGCAGCAGCTTGATCAGGTTGGTGCTTATTGGTAGTCCTGAGCGCCTTTTTACTTGGTTGCTTATTTTAATTACCTTAAACAACCGCAAGTGGGTATGAGCGCATTTCATCCCTTCGACCATATTTGAACCCAAATGTTATGAGTGGGTTTTATGTCAAATTGGGACGTAACTTTACATGCTTCAATAGGTATACCGCCATCATTGTACTGCACGTAGTAGCTACAAGTGTGTCCTATCGCGCTAATCGCCTTTTTTCACTTCCAGTTTTCAATCATTGGCCGCTGCGACTACGCCAACACGTGTGAGTTGATCGTGCGTCTGTTCGACCAGTCCTTTGGTCAGTTGCAATCAACCTTGCAACAGCTGGTCTCCGTGGATCCAGCCGCTTTCGTCACATCGACTCTCGCGGCCGCATCTGAGCAAGCACAAGCCATTCGGCTGGAAGATAATCGTCTTGCGTGGCTCGTTTACATGATTGGTGAGGCGTTCGACTCATTAACTACGATCAGTAGTAGGTATTTGTGTAATTTTAAGGGCACACTCCTTGTTACAGGTGCGTTGATCAATGGCCGTTCGACCTCCAGTACTGGAGGTTTGGTGGACTCGGACCAACTAGACGGCGAATTGATCGCCCGTGTGCTTCGTCTTCTTCAATTCGGTGACGCGTGTGTGCGCCTCTTGCTCCAGCTCCTTTCTCAGGACAGTCAATCGACCAGCAATGATGTGGCCAGCATGTTCATTCACATCTCCTCTGGAACTATCATCCGTCTTGAGCTGGCTATAATTACCTTCCTTGAACGCTTCCGACGCATCTATGTGGGGGAGAATATCAGTCGAGCCTCGAAGGTGGGCAAACTTAAGTGAGGATGCAGCACTACTGCAGATTTCACTTTTTCGTAGGGGCGACCCGTCCCTCTCAAAGCTACAAAGTGTCAGCTTACCCTAATCATCTTTATAGATGAGAACCTCCGTTTAAGAGATGTCTTAAATTTGTAACTCTAGAATTAGCAATTTGATCTGAGCATCCGGCTTAGATGCATTAAATGGGAGTTACAACGCACAGCCGTCTACTTGTAATTCTTGCAGATGTACCGAGCCCTCTCGGATTTGGTGGGCATCTCGGACGAGCAGACGATATTGCAAATCTTTATTGGGAAAATCCTTCTCAATCTTCGCTACTGGAGTGACCAGGAGGTGGTACTCGAGCCAACACTAAAGCTCTTTGGCGAGTTGGCCTCCAGTTTTACGGCCATGCGAAAACTTCTTCAGTTGGATGATGTTAAATTTATGCTGGCGAACCACACGGTAAGTTTGCTATTCGTGTTGAATATTCTTCGAACTTAAAATCCCATCGTTTCACCTTACTCGGATGCGTCAGTCTCGGTGGCTTCCGTTTTTTCTTTTTGTGTAATCGATCATGATCAACGCCATCCCTAGTCATGCATTTATTTTGAACCCTTGTTAGTTATTCATCCCGTTCGATAGTTTTCACGTCTTTTTACTTTGTTTTTAATCTATTCCACCATCCATGTAACTTATGCTGTGCCAGGAAGCTTTTAAGCATCCTCTAAAAGCCTTTTGTGGTTCTTGTGTTTGCTTGCCCTTCGTCTCACTAACCACCCGTAACAAGGAGGAAATTCCAGTTGAGGAACCGTGGGAACTATTTGGCAGGAGCTTACAAAACCGTAGCTCCTTAATTCCTGGTTCAGAAGGAAAAAATCAGAGCGTCACATATACGTGGCGTTAATTGCAAGGGTTAATACAATGCAGATCTTGACTGTGTAAATTTGATTTGGTTGCATAAACATGAGGTACTATTTTGGAACAAATTTAATCACGTTCGCAACCATGATCATTGAGGTAAGTCTACTGTAAGCTAAATGCTTTATTGTGCTTAATACCACGACTCGCCGCCAATTTTTTTTATTGAATTCATTTATTGCTACTCTCGAACCGAGAGAGCATTTTACATCTACTTGACTATTTCAAATTTAATCACTTTCCTTGCAACTCATAATATGGTGCAAATGTTTTTCACAACCTGACCTGGCGAAGAACATATGTCACATATATGTGACGCCAGCAGCGAATGTATTAACGATCATTCTTCGCTGACAGCCACTGCTACCTCTGTCCAATGAACCCCCCTTGGCCTGGTTTTGAATTTAAAAACTTAACTCTTACTATCACGGTGTGCATAAGGCGGGGGAGATTCACAGTAAGAGGAAATGTTCTAAGCCATTTTCTTCGAGTTAAAACCCGATACTGTTATTGATGCTTCAATTTGCTAAGCAACCAGCATCATAGGCAAATAATACCAAGGTACGCAGTTTGAGGCTATCTTTTCCCATGAAGAAAATTAATCACCCAATAAGCCTACCTGGCAATGCTGGTTCGCGTACCGATTGTTGGAACTTGGCAGCACTAGTCGCGATGACGAATGGGCTTTGCATTCAAGTGGGCATTCCTAAACTATCTGCTACCTACCTCACAGCTCTATGTCATGCGCTACTTCGTTCTCAAAAAACTTCTTGGTTTTGTGTGCGTGGTAAACTGCAAGCGCACTGAGAACCCGTCGCTTGTCAAAGGTTGAATGACAATTTGCGCTAAGATCTATCTGATCTACAAAACCTCGTAAAACTGGAAGGTGTGTAGGGTAAATTTCATTGTCAAAAATAGCCAGGACTCGGACTAGCGACTCAACTGGAAATGAACCCTACTATTTTTATTCTTGCTGGGCAAATCAACGCATAACCACATAGAACCTCAAACCTTACTATCGAGAAGACCTTGACCTCATCCTCCCCGTTCTTCTGGTGGTATTTCTACGAATGATTATTAAGTATTTTGAGGCAACTGCGAAGTGAAGGGTGCACCATCAGCATTCGTGTGTGTATGTGTTTTTTCCACTCCTACAGTCGGCGAACTTTCGTTTCCTCTCCTCCACCTCTAACCTTGCGCTATCGCGCTACCGCCCCGAGTTCTACGCCTACCTCTCGCGCCTTATGCTGGTGACGCTTTCGGGCACTGGAGCTGACGATAACAGGCCCTTCCTCGACTTTCTCTCACCTCTTACTCAGGTCGCCAATACCCTCATCTCCAACCTCCTTCTCTCCGGTTCGTTCTTTCATTCATTCTATTTTGCCTTTTTAACGCGTTTTCCAGTCTGCGCCCATACCCTGTACAAATTTCACGTTGCTCTTGTTCTATGTCACTTTTTTGATAGCCAGTTGCAATAGATCGCGGGTTGCATGCGTATCTTATTGCCCTATCAGATCTTATTTCATGCTTTAATTGAGAAGGCGGTGCAGCAACTGATAAGGAAACGGTTTTGCCCTTTTGAGAGGCAGTGATTTCTTTGCGTCTCTTTGCTTCTAACTCCGGCGAATTTTGGTTCTCCAGCTTGGCTGATTCCTCAACTGAAGTAGCTCTGCCTCGCTTGAAATATCTCGTTGATTTCTCGCTTCCACTGTTAGTGTTTGAAAAGCGGTGTGGTCTGGCTTTAGATGCCGGGTAGCCCCGACAATTTCGTAATTCCTTCGTTCTCAAAAACGTGGTTCTCCTGGACTATGGCTAAAAATCCCGAGCGATGTTTTAATAGCCTATCCAAAATACATAATGTTGCTGGACCAGTTGCCCCGTTGAATTCCGCCTAAGGCGTATCCGCTTTCCGTTTTCGCTGCTTCCAACACAGTCATTCCCTTTTTTTTTTCATATCAGATTTCACTTTTCCACTGCTTAAATCGCCTCCTAGAACAGCATTTAGGGTTTATTAACAAGGTGAACCCTCATCAGTATTTGTTGGATGGTGTCCCAAACCGTTAGCTCCACTTTAAACAAATTTTGTAGATCTTTTACTTTTCCTAAAAACATCTCCAAATTCAGCAATGAGATAAAATGATGTGAAAGTAGGGAGTGAGGAAAGTAAATGAAATTCTTTGCTTACCAGTTTACCACCGTTAAGTTCATTTCGTGCGCATATGCGCAAATGTGGGGATTTTGAGGGTCACAGGCACATTCTGCATCAGCTTCCCACCTCGTGAAATGCATTAGTAATTCTCCCATCAATCTGTTGTATCTAAGCCGTTGTTAATGAGTTCGCCCAGTATTTTCTCACGCTGACTTTTGGTACCTCTCTTTGGCAGAAAATTGTTCCATCTCCCCGGATGAGGCACGAAGCAGCATAATTGGGCTGGCACGAGACCTGGCCGGTGTGGCCTTCAGTCTCAACACTATGGCATCATTCCAGCACTTTCTGGACTGGTTTTATCCCTCCCTCTTCAGTCTCTTCGGCCGCGCGCTAGAGCTCTGGCCCTTTGATCCACTCGTTACCTGTCCTGTCCTCAAACTTCTTGCGGAAATCGTGCACAACCGGAATGACCGACTCAAATTTGATGGCACCATACCCATGGGCTATCTATTACTCGCGGAGATGACCAAAATCCTCATCAATTTTAGTGAGGAAATCCCCTTACCCTCTCTTCTTCCCATTCTTTTCTCCCATTTATGAATTTATTTAATTTTTAGGCACCCAACTGATACCCTTCTGCAGTCAAATAACTGAGCAAAATCTCTACTCACACAAGGTGAAGCCTCTGACACGCTACCTGAACGCCCTACGAATTACTCTGAGTGGAAAGTATGCCAACTTTGCGATTTTTGGCCTTGTTGGTGATGGCTCCTTCGAAAAGACGGTCAAGTTAAGTGCTGATGTACTATTGTGTGTCACTGAGGACGAACTGAGGGTTAGTCTATTTGATTGACTATGTCCAATTTTCATAACCTCTTGAGTCAATATCACCTGTCCATACGATATGACTGCTGTTGATATCTTTGTATCAATAACAGTAAACTGGGACTCCCAACTTTATACAAGGATGTATCTGGATTCACAGAATGCAGAATGAATTTCTTATTCCCATGTTTCATATTTCTATTTTTATTGTTGTCAGTTTAGCGTGGCAACACGTACTACTGTGTTTGATTTCTTTTATGGGAGTAAATGTTCTCAGGCTCGGATTTTACGCCCTCTTATCACTGCAGGCTATTGTATTTATGCACCCATGCACTACCACTGTTGTCTGTTAACCCTCTTGGGTTGAGGCTACGACTGAGCCACTGAGATTGATCCATGGGACAGACTGCGACAGTTATCCCATATCTAATTCTGTAGGCGAATATGAAAACGTCGCATCGGCCTTTGCATTTGTCCTCAATTAAATACCCGTAAAATGGCTTTCCTGATTTCTTGGGTTCGTACACACCTTATGAAGTAGACTTTTTGAAATGTGCAATCTGCTCTTCAATCTTTTAGGGTTTTATCAAACTCAGCAAAGCCTACTTCGCGCTGCTTGAATGTCTCACACAAAATCATATGGTTTTGATAAGTTCACTGGACGCCTCTGTCATTCGGCGTTTTTTCAACGCCATCGTGATAGGTGTCGACTCTCTCGGTGCGTTCATTTGGATTGAGTTCAAAAGTGAGTTCATACGAACATTCTTAATTCTTTTTTTGAATCCTTCAGATGCTTCGGTAGCATGGAGCGCCTGCGCCTGTCTTGACTACATCTTAACCCATATCTATAATGTCACAAATCCTCATTCGTCCTCACAAAGCAACAGCACCAACGATGTCACCACCAATCATATCAGTACCAATGATAACGAAATGCTCAACGGACAAAAGTCAGAGTATCCTCTTTTTGTCCCCACCCCGCCTACCTCCTTGCCCACCTCAGAGATCGCTCAGGCTGCACGTCAACGTCTCACAGCTCGTATGGCTGGGACAGTGCCCAGTAGAGGCTGCTGCTCCGCTCTGGCCATCTGGTCGGACCGTGAGGTGGCGGCCAACGCTAACTTACAACAAAATTTTATCCGCCGCACTGGCACCGCCTTTGGAGGGATCAGTGAGTTTACTCTAACCTCGAGGCAACTCATTGTCACCTTCCTATCCTCCTTTATGAACGAGGAGTGCAAAAATCAGTGGAGCATTTCTCGACCCCTGTTGGCGTTGATTCTTCTCAATCAGGATGTACGTTGTTGCCACATATGCGCTTATTGTTGTAACCTTGTAGCTGTCGCAGTGTGGGTCAGTACGTGTAGCATATTGCCTTTCATTTCACACTCGGCAATCCCACTTTTTTTTCTATAATGAAATCAGTTGAGTAAATTTATGTAGGTGTAGGAGAATTTACTCCGAACTTTAACTACGAATCCCATACGATAGGAAGTGTGTATTTATTGTAACGTCCAAGTCTTCTCTGAGGACGCGCAGAATGATAGCTGGTTGGTGGTCAGCAAAATTGACCCTAATGGATTATCCCACCACCATATGTGGGATTGAAACTTATGGAAAATAAAGACCCTATTTGGTGAAAGTACAGTTGGGACACAGCCTTCCTTCATGAGTGTTGTTTTGGTCGTTCCCCATCGTCCACTTTCTGCGTCGTAACTTTGAAAGCCAGCAGTCAATGAAATCAGGATCGCTGTTCATTTTGATGCTGTTTGCTTGCCAATGCCACCATTGGCATTCGAAGTTTTGACTCTGGCACTGGTCTTAGTCTGCCTCTTCCATTACAGATGTGTTTACGCGACTGTCTAATGATAACGCCATAAAAAGGTTGTAACCCTCAGTTAAGGTAATGCCATTAGGAGAATCCGGAGAATGGGGATGCGGTAGTATCTTCCACTCTTCCTCCTCCCCATTCTAATGTGGCAGTATGAGGTATGGTGTCCTCTGTCCAGTAGTAGGAATAAAAATAGAACTTTTTAATTAATCGACTAATCAAAGTTCTGACTATATACGTTAGAGGGTTTTTTGCTAAGACACACGTGAGTTGTATGGAGTTTTACTAAGTAGATAGATCTTAGCATAGATTTCCAATCCGTATTCGGTAGGTGAGTGACTTCCAGTAAATATTATGTCTGTTGCCGCAACTTCAAAATGCCTGATAGTTTTGATGTGGTTTCTGCTCCTTTTGGAGTGTTGGGCAGCTAGTAAGCTCATAAGACGTCGACCATGGGTGATGACATACACAGCATCAGATCTTATTTAGAAGGGAGGTGATACCCTCCCGTGTATTTTTAGTATTACACAAATCTGCAGCGGCTTGTCCTAAACGCCGTGAGCCCACATCAACGTCCGGAATTAGAAGGCATCTTCGGAAAACTCATGGAGAATGTGGATAACAACCTCTATGCGAAAAATCGTGATAAGTAAGTTTCATTCCCTTCCCCTTGTTGTGCTACTTAGAGGTATATTGGGTTCTGATACTAACAGTGGTGCCTGTGTGTTGTTTAGATTCACACAGAACATATCAGCCTTCCGGCACGCCCTGATGGAATTCATGAAGACGGTTAGTGTGAAACTCATGGGGAATCAGGAGGCAACTGCGGCTAACTACGAGACCAGCGAGACGTTCTCCCTGCGTTCCATCCTCCTCTCCAGTGCAGCCTCTCTTTGATAAAAAAGTGGTCGTCCATTCTCTCTCTCCCCCTTTTCCTCCTTTTTACGTACATAAAAAACTGCCATGTCGTAAGTGAAAAACAGAGGGTGTGTGTTTCACCTGCTGTATTTTTAAAAGATGAAATCAAAATTTACAGATTCCTTTTCCCCTCCTCGCATTAAGTAGCAATGCATCATGTTTTATTAAGTACTCGCTTGCCTTCATGTGATATACAATAAAAAGAGCACGTTTTGCTCTCTATTTCTCTACCAGTTAATTCATCAACAAGCTAATTTAATTGACACTGACAGGCAGGTTAATTGGATCATTACTTATGCTCGACTGGTAATGAAGGCTTAGGGGTGTTCACATCAAGCAGATACTTTTTGGGTTGCTAAAAACATGGATAAAAACGGGTTTCACGATCTACGAACTGCATACATCCCTCCACATGGGAAGCGGCTTTGCTACCGAAGGATTTGTGAAGATACTAGGCCAAAAGCGGAAAATTGCGCCCACTAACTCCTCCACATTGCAAATATTTGTGTCGTGTTCATTGTTGTTGCAGAACAAGTGGTTCCTTGTGCCATTGCACCGCACGACAGGTCATATGTTCGTCAGACGTCCACAGGATCGACTTCCACGCTGTAGGCTGAAGACAGACCACCGCGGCTGGAACCGTTACTGGCGTTTACACTTGCAGCCCTCTCTGGAACGTTTGTACTATCCGGATGTCCTACTGCTGAGCCTCCTACCACCTTATTATACTGTGAGGTACTCTGATTCTACAAAATGCTTTATTATTATTATTATGCGCGCATCGTCTATGTTTCAACTGGGCTGACACACTCGGCAACATTCCCATTGAGATCCGATGTAACTCAAGCGTTCCAGTGGAAATGCTGAATCCACTAAAATAATTCATTTGTAGCCATTGAGAGGGTTTATTTGCTTCTGACTGAGTACCTACACTTAGTAAACAGACTTCCCTAGTGGCATATTCACTTGACAACTTCACCTGTGAAGCGTGACTCGAATTTCCTAGGTGATTGTTTTCTATTGTTAGTGGTGATGGTTTTGTATCTCCATTTACGATCTCTTATTGCTTGACTTCGGTCCTACAAGTAGAGGGGCTGAAAATGAATCAAAGAACTTGCTTCACGGAAGAATAGCCTTAGTTGTTGCAAACTTACGCATGAATTCCTTGTCAATCTTCTGATCTGGGGTTAGGGGGGAGAGCTATTTTGATGTCATTATGGAAGGTGTCCATCTCGGGCGATTAAGAGTTGCAGTCGTTACAGGTTTGAGCATAACCCCCTCCAAACTCTCGTCAACTTGGTCACCATGACTGTTTGGGTTTCCGGGAGGTTTCAGGCTCGAAATATCAGAAATTCGAGTGTACTTTTTCCTATTCATCACCCCGCGGACTAGTTTTTTATCCCTGGTAAAAAAAAAGATGGACAAAAATATTTACACCTAGTAAGCTTGGTGGTTGAATTTAAAAGACTAAAGTAGACTCAGACTATCCAGCTGTTGAGATGATTAGTTTGGTACTGTAGGCGTGAATGATGGCCAATCTCCTGCCGAGACTGGTCCTGGTTGCGGACTTGTCAAAAGGATTTCTGAAACACGCTAACAACTACCTCTCAGCAGGTCATTATAGATCAAGCAATTTAAGCCAGAACTGGACATTGTTGCATAATAGTTAACTCACGACGCAGTGTTTTTCAGGTACGTTAAAGGTGTCTTAAGGAAGATTCTTGTGTCTCCAACGGGTGGGATCACTCCAGGTGAGGGACTAAAATAAATTATGGAAACCATTCAAACCCGTGCCAATTCTTTTTGTTTCAATAAAAGCTGAATAACTGCAAAAGGATGCCTCAAGTAAAAACTTTTCCCGGTAAAACGGTCACCGTTACAATGTATAACCCTTTCTCAAAATAATACAAGTCACCTGAAAACTGTAATCTTATAAATTGCTTTGTCCCTCGAAGCCAAGGGGCCACTCACCACTAGCTACCTCCGTTCCCACCTCACTTCTGTTTTATCACATGTGATCATGTGACTTTCTAACGGTAACACCGAGAAAAGACGTTAATGTGGTTTAAGAATTACTGGCACAGGAATACGGAGGCTGAGGCAGTATTCCCCCCTCCCTTTCCGGGTCTAAAGTGCAGTATGAGGTCGTCTTGGGGGTAGGTTTTGTGAAGGTATGTAGTCACGTGCTGACCTGACTTGCAAAAATAAGAATAGGACTTTCTTTCCACTTGTTGTTTCTGAAGAAACTTTTCTTAGCCCTTTCAATGTGTTTCGTACTGAGTGGATAGATCTACGTCGTACTTATTTGGGCTTTAGGGTTATAAGGAATCCTCCGTCGATTGACTCGTGCATATTCACCCATGCACCATCCATACAAGCCTCCATTACACGTTAAAAGTTATTGCAGCGAACTACATGGAAAACAATGAGCTGGTCTGGTCTATCCACTGCTAAGGTGACAGTAAGCAACAGGATCACTGCATGTGCGTGTGTGTGGAACAATGGGCGCAAGTTCTTGTGACAAAGACGTCAAACACCAGCTCATGGACAGCTACCGGTGGAGAAGGCGTTAAAGATCCTAGATATGGTAATTTAACACTCAGACTTTCAATGTAGGCACTGAAATGATGTCAACGTTTCACACGAGCCGTCTGCCATTCACGATTCTCATGATGGAACGCCTGGTCGACACGCTATCTGCTGTGTGACTAAACAGCACAGGAGACCACTCTCTGTACCAACGATGAACACAACATGTGCAGTTTGGAACAGTTAGCGTGCACCGGGTAGCTAAACAGGTTCTTGCTTCTGACGGATGAGGAAGTGGGACAGTCTGACCTCCCAAACATTAACTCACCAATCAATTGTGTATTGGACATCATTCATTTTGCATAAGGATGAAGTTTGCCCTGTTGAGAGATGAATATCACCCTCCGAGTGTGATGATTTCGTGGGGGGGTCAGAAGCATGCAAAATCGTCGTCAGTTGTTCAACTTTTTGCTTCCCTCTACCTTTTCTGGCTCGCTTCCGCCTCTTCTTCTCTTTTCTCTTGGCCTTCACAGAAGGCGATGACGATAATGATGGAATTTTATGGTCTCTTTGACACTGTAGTCGCGCCATAGAGGGGCAAATTGATATCACAGGGGAAGGGTTGATTATATTGAGTGGGAAGTTAGGAGTCTCCAATACATTGAGTGCTGCTTCAGCTTGGGTCTGAACAGTCTCCCAAGCGGTCTCTTTGGCCAGATCACGAGCCAATGTGTAGTGCCAGTGTGATTGTTTGTGTCTGCCCGCACACATAAGCGCGTAGCCCAAGTTGCAATGGGCCTGTGCTTGTCCCGCTCTGTTGCCCATTACACCTAATACAGAGAAAACCTTGAAAAACCCTTCTTACCGAATCGGAAAAAATCGCAAGACTTCTGTGATTTATTGAGGTAGCTCACATTTTCAACAGAGATAAGTGGAGAAAAATAAGTCTCGTTTGCCAGCAAGATTTCTGATGAATAATAATCACCGCTGTCCAAATGTCTACTGTGCTGACAATGTCAATAAATGGCAATTGCTTCTCAAAAAATCCACATAATGAATTCACCCTTAGACGAAGATCATCCTACATCTGTTTATTCGTCTTAAAATCAACAGGTTTGTTTATAGCGCAATTTGGTGCAACTAGGAGTTGTCGCGAGTTGATAAAAAAGCACGTAACACACGTATGACGTAGGTTTCAAGCAGGGAAATAAGGATAGCACATACATGTGATTCTGATAGAAAAATTAATTAAAGGACTGCAGACTTGTGTCACTCATTCTACTTACCGTGAGCAGCCACAGACTGTTCCAAGATGGCGATGGCTTCAGTCAATTTTTTAGCGGCTATGTAAGCGGAGCCTAAGTTTTGTAGAACGGAAGCCCGAGCGCCTGAGGCCTCTTCGGGGAGATTTTTCAAGGACTTTCGGAAGCAGGCGATGCTATCGTTCTTAAGTTCAAAAGCCAAGAATGCAATGCCCAGTTCGTTGTATAGAATGCCTAAAACAGAGAGCATTCATACTCCTTCCCAGGAACAAAAATATTTACCAACCAAATTCATCGTATGCTGGAAAAACGACCCATTACATTCAAAGCTAACCGAGACCTAATTTTTAGGTGTGATATTAGATGGACAGTGGTACAGCGATACTTAGTAGTAGCAGCAGTGAGTGTCTGCTACACACATTCAGCTGGTTTACATGCTGTAGGTCAGTCTAATCCACCCATCGTTAGTTAAGAAGGCAGCAGAAAACAGTGCTGACGGGAGCATGTACATGGAACAACTTGCGGTCACGGCTGAAGGTATCAAACCGGAACTTCTATACATCCACCTGCTAGGAAAGCATCTAGCGCCACAAATGCGGTGATGAAGCCATTGATGCAAGTACATTTCGGGTATGCCTGACATCAGAGTGAGAAACCAAACTCAGTGCAATTCAGTTTCCCTTATACGGAAATTAAAACAGTTGATAAAATTGCTGAAACGTAGCCGCATCGGTATACCTCGGTCAGATATTTTCCCGACTAATTTAACCATTTCCAACGCTATGGTAAGAGCACTCAGGGCGGAATCCAAATCCGCAGCAGTCATGAACCAGCGAACCGCACGAAGAGCCGAAAAACAGGCATCCCGACCGAAATTACAGTCTTCAAAGGCCTTTTCCGCCTTAAGCCATGCAACTGCAGTAGCACTTGCATCTTCATTCAGACATTCTAAAGTGGTGGCGTAGCGTTTGCATAATTCAGCTAGCAACTCCTTGGTCTTATTTGCAGAATTGATACTCAACCCAGCATTAATGTGTGATAGCCTCCGTTCAACTGATTTAATCGCCATACCAAGGCAATGTGCTACACTTTTCTGATCCTTAGCTTGTTCATAAGCCTTTGCAAAGTAGAGGTATAATTTCTCCCAAAGCGAATATGTATCGTACTCAGAGAAATGGTTTAGACTATTTAAAACTTCAGTAAGCAAGTGTATAGCTCGAATAGGTTTTTTCTGAAGAAGATGCTTTTCAATCCTTTGAAATTTAATGTGGATGGGTGTAAATTCACTCCCTGTTTCGAGATCTGAGTCAACCAAACCTTCAACAACTGCGGACTTCTTTGAGTCAAGTGAACAACTAAGCATGCTTAAGGGCTTTGCAGTTGATGAATCACCGCCAATTCCACCAGCTTCAGTAATATCATTTGAGATATCCATATGCAAAATCAACTGCCAATTAAGGTAGATGGATGTGACCGGCTTCTGCTAAACCTAGCGACGCACACCCTTCAGCCCTACGCGAGATGAGCTAATAGGACTAAAGAGTTCAAGGTAATTTGACGCAAAATTGAGTAGCAAACTAAAGAATCTACCTATTTATCGATAACCCAGGGGTGTCATTGGTGTCTTTTCAAAAAACGCTAACAACTCTTAATACAATGGCCAATTCGTGGATTTTTTCTGCCCTAGGGATGGCTATTTTTTCCCCATTCACACTTGTTCGATAATTCGCATTGGCGTAAGAGGACTGCGTATAACTTCATTGGGTAAATTTGATGTCTCAGAAGTCATCGAGGGCAACCGTCAGGCGAATATTTGGTTTGCGCTTATTTACATTTTCGATGATTATTTTATTAGTGCCCTCTCGGTACCGTTCCGCCACACAGGAGGTAATGTCACTTGAGTCGTATCTTTAAAATGTAGCTGCCATGTAATTTATCGACTACTGCGTCCAGGGGAGGTCCATCCACTTCATCTCCGAAGAAAGATCAAAAAACTTTTCTCGACATACATGTAAGTGAACCTCACTCCACGTCATACACTTCCTTCGAATACCCAATTCCCAAAACGAATGTCCGAATTTACCCATTCAAAACTCCATATAATAGGCTATCTGGTAGCTTTGTTGTGTCATTATTTTCCTGCCAACCTTCTTAACAGTACATATTTTGGTATTTTATAGAAAATTCGAAAGGAGAGGATTCATTTTATCTGTGTCCCCCTTATGATTGTGGATTTCGAATTCCCTTGAGCCTCGTTTTAGGACTCTATCGCGTCGATTATTCGATCCGAAGCAGAGCCTTCACTAGCCTCAAAGCCAGTCCTTCGGCTACAACGATGTCGGTCAATGTCAGATATTGGGAGAACTCGGTTAAATCTGACAGATTCGGAGATAAAACTCAGGTCCAATCTTGCCATTTGGACTTTTCTTCTGGAACACTCTAGAAAGGCGGTTGAGAAGCAAAATAAACAGGAAGAAGTACGGTTTGTTCACAAAATTTTGATTAAAGTTTTTTTTGCATAAAAATTGTTCAAGGTGTAGGCAAGTAATTTTTTTGTGCCACCTACCAAACTATTAAGTGACACGCTTGACACGAGACGACCATTTCTCTTGTACCTTCATTTGGTGAAGCGTATTTATACCCTCCATCCTTGTTCTCAAATGGCGCAAATACCAGCGTGATATACTTAAAATAGCTTTGCATATCTAGCCCAATGTCCATAACGAGTTCGATGTCTAAATATTCCTGTCTTAGAAATTATGGTAACCTTAGAGTTGGCCGCTTAAATTCCTCTTCGTACTTCTTACAGGCTCTTCGCAAGGCTATTGCGGAGGCGCATGATCGGGAAGCTTGGTTAAAAAAGTGGCTTAAAGTTCAGGAATCTATCGATTTACAGGTAATTCTTCCCTCTTTTGATGTTTCTGTTCACAGTTTGTCCCAAGGGAGTTAAATCTTTGGTTGTTTTAGATTGTAATCTATCAACGTCTGCTCAAACTAATGAAGGGCGAATCGGGCATCATAAGCCTTTTGCGCCGCCTATATGACAACCATCTTCTTCCTGTCAGTGATCGTCTTCCTCTTGAGGAGCTTACTTTAGGCGACGATTTTCAAGGTCATTTGACAGCGGCTTCTCTGGCTCAAGAAAACGTCAGTTCTATTGCTTTTTAGCAAATGTTTCAAATAATTAGAAGTTCTTATTGTTTTTGGTAAAATCCATTGCTGTCAATTGTTATTTGAAGGAGCATGTGAAATGTACATGATTGTTAAATACGTGCCCCATGTATCTCATCACGGTAACCTTTATTTAACCTCTACCACCTTCCTCATGCACGATAAATGATGGGTATGATTGGAATTTGTCTGCGTTATAGGCAGAGTTTAACTCGGCAGCGAAAATTCAGCGTCTTCTCGTGATGTGTGCGATTCACAGCAAGTGTCTCCAAAGGGAGCTACCAGGTGCTTTTAAAAAAGGGCAGAAATCTAGCTGATTTTTGGCCCCACAAAAACGACCTTCGAAGCTTCCTTAAGTGGAAAAAACACTGGTTTCCAATTACCTAGCCTTCAAATTCGCTAGGTGAAACATGATCATTACATTGCCTTTATGCTGGACTAGCTTGCTACTTCTATTGTCGGCAATATCCGTAATCCACGATGGTATTCTAGATTTCACCTTCATAGGATTGGGTCTCGAAGTCTCCTCAAGCATGAAAAGGAACCGCATCGCTTGTTTTACCGCTTGCTCTCTACACAGACAATAAAACGTAAACATCTAATCACCATTCCCTTTGATTAGTTCGTAGCCGGTATCGCAGGAGATCTAAAAGCTCTGAGCGCTATCGCATCCCAGTTGGATGAACTGGCTCATGTCGTTCTCTCATCCACCTCCTGGTTGGGTAACAAAGAGGTGGTGGCCAAGTTAACTCAGGCCTGTCGGCTCTGTCTTCACCTCGCTTCGCTTCGAACTCACCGGCTGCAACAGGAAATGGCCCAACGAGTTGGTGCTATTTCGTCTTAGCAAATTTATTAACTGAATAATTAGTTCTTCTTGAATGCATTTATGAAATTTTTGACATAAAGATCCTACTTTTACACTGTATCTTCGTCTGTGAATTCTGTAATGGGTACTATAAATAACCAAATTAACCCGCATTGTGATTGGTTCAGAGCTTATTGAATTGTACCGTCCCAAACCACTTTTGAATACGTGGTCATCTATGAGGAAGGTTTATCGTGTTAAAACCCACACACGCCGATCAAGTGGCAGCAAAGACGCGAACAGAGGTCAGGACAGCCAAACGACCACGTATGGCTGGAGGGTCAATAACAGTCGCAGCCGTAAGCAGTCATCTGATTGGTTCCTGATCGACGCCTGACCATATTTGGTGGTGCCATGTGGATAAATTGCTGATTCATACACATAGGTGGTTGTATTCGAGACACAGACTAGTGGCCTTTTGAGCATATCCTGACCGGCAAAAGTCTCCTTTTTAGTAGTTTATGCAAGCATTACCTTGGGCTGCAGCACATTATTAACGGAGGGGCGCCTATCTTTCCAAGATAAGATGACTGAAAACTGCAAAGAATGAACATCCTTCAGGTTAAGATGACAACAAAACATCGTACTGTCGCGTAGTTCATTTCGGTTCCTTCCTTCAATAATGTACAAATACGTGCTGAGTTTTAGTTATGGAATTAGGGCGTGGTAGTAGCAGCAGCGGAAATTAGTTTGAGTTTCTCTACCGCCTTCACTAGTGCATCGATCTCCGAGCCCTCGGCTTTCAGTACCGTTACAAGGTTCTCCACCTGGGCGGGCGATAGCGGTGACGACTGTGGTCCCCTAGGCCTCTCGGTTCGGCTCTGGCCAAAGCTGATGCCATCGCTAGCACGTTGCTGCTCTCGCAGACGCGTTACCAGGTGGTCGTACTGCAATCGAATGTTCTCCAACCACCCCAGCAGGCCCGATTTCAGCCGGTCTCGCAGATTCTGCACGCTGCTGCTCATTTCCAATTCTGCGTCTGTCAGTCCTGCATCGATGCCTTGGTACAGCAAACAGGAAAAGGGACCAAGTTAAACATGAGTGTAGGCAACGAGAATGTTACTACTTGTGAAGTGTATGCAGCTCTTCAATCTCCAAGGTTTTCACCATATTGGTGTCGTGATTTGATGCCCATAAAAAGACAAATCAAGGTTATGGTGGGAAGAAGTGAAAGGATATTTCATGACTCACTGTAGATGCGTCGAGCAAGCTCCGAGAGGCGATGATTGAGGGCCTCCTGTCGCTCGAGGATACGCGAGTGGCGGTCCGCGAGACGAGCGGCGTGAGTCTGGAGAGCTTCGCGCTGCGCTGCGAGCCCAGCCACCTCTTCGGACTGCGCCGCCAACTGACCCTCCACATACTCCGCAAATCGACAAACAGACGCCGCCAGGCCCGCCAGCTGGCTTAGCTGCGAGATGCGCAGCGTGTCTGTCGCCTAAAGTAGTAGTAGAGCACACACAAAACCATTACCAATCTATATTCTCAGTGAAATTAGACTACTACTCCATCAAAATAAGCTTAACCAGAACGTTTTCAAAACTGCTGGGACTCATGAACATTTTAGTAGTAGACTACGAAGAGGAGAAAGCGAATATATCTATTAACCGAAGACGAGAGCAAAAGGTCATTTACATTAAGGAACAGGCGGAAAATTTTCGGTTCAGAGGGGTTAATTCCATCATCTAAGGAGGACAGGATCGGCAGCCTGGAGGATTCAGCTGCCTTGAGGCTGCGTCGACATTTCTTTACGAATTCTGATTCCTTTGGGCTGAAAGTATCACAGAGAAAAGTCACATAGATGGGAGGTACGAGTTTTCCACTTTTTGAAGTATATCCCACAGCCATCGCTAGTCATTCATGTAGCAATTTGCATTTTGAATGTTAGCAATAAGTCTGTTTCACACATCGAAATTTGGAAACTCCCATCTTTGGCATTTAAAGTAACCAATTATCGTAGAATGATAAAAAACGCATCACATATATAGAACCTTGGTAGTAACCGTACTAACTGCGCCAAAAAAAGACAGCCAATCTCACCGACTAGAAGACGATTTCACTGGCAGTTTGCATTCCTTCTGTTCCAAACTTTGAACCCACTGCTCGCAGCGTACTGAAGGCAAATCGGCAACAGTGTCAGACCGTGAGGGCGGCCGGCAGGGCAGCGGCACAGTCACAACTTCGGGCTTGGAGGGGAAGACCACAGTGAAGGCCGGAGAGGTGTCAGTATCAGAGGGCGACTCCGCCGAGGCCCTGTGGGGCAGTAGACCAATCACTGCTCGACCTGGACTTCTACTGTCGTAGGTCTGACTGCTGAGACTTTGAGTCAGTAAGAGATACTCCACACTGCACATGTTTGACCGAAGTTTCTCCAGCAGATCTAAGTGCAGGAGAAAATAAGCCATACTTCCAATAGTGATTGGTTAGAATGTCCATATTTTACTAGGTTTTTAGGTATCGTGAAAACATTTGTATTTTGAGATGAGGTGTGGCATCAGAAAAATCTCGATGCGCATTTCAGATGGTTCAAAACACGCCAGCGTTAGTAAATTAGATATATTCTGATAAAGTACACTTTCTCCGAATTCGAAAGACTGGTAAATTGATAGGTGATAGTAGATGGGTAAATAAGATACGGAAGTGACCGGCTTATTACGGTTTACTGATCAAATCGAACAGCTGAATAAGAAACTGGGCTAGACCAGACTATAAGCGAGGCAAATCTTCTTGTAGAATGGCGGTCGCTTCTGAAAAGCAGACAAACGGACTTCGAAGTATCTTGCATCAAAAATAGCTTGTATTACTCATTTAGCATTTTTCGACTGGAGTAAACATTAGTAACAAAGCCAAATAATGGCGAATACAACTTACTCGAGTTAGAGTCCTCCTCGATAAATACGGAGGAGTAGAGGTCACAGAGGTCATTCACCCAGGGAATGCGCACGTGGTGAATGCCAAAGTCGTGCAGGCAGAAGTAATTGCTACCCAAGTCAAGTGGAGCTGTAACTGTGCTGTGAGACCAGAGATACGAGGAAGGGACCAACGCCAGTTTCAGGCTGCACGATTCAACCTCCGAATCGACGTCACTATCCCCATCGTGTTTCATTGAGGCCTCGAAAGACTTGTCCAGAACTGGTAATTCCAGGTCGACACTATCGATAAGGAAAAGGATGGGGATGCCGCGACCTAAATGCAAGGAAATAGGCAAGACATAAAAAGATAGGGAAAAAAGATTAGTGGTAGGAACAGTAATTGTAAGAAAGTGGTGGCAATAGGGAAGAAGAACTCAAACGAAAGGTTTAGCTCTAGCTAAATCAGCCTATATCAAATATCTCAGAACCTAAAACATATGACGACTTCACTAGATCACGAGGAGATGAACAACATTTCAGAGCGTTCGCCACCAGTGTCACATATATGTGACCCTTCGAGCTTCTTATGTGGGCCCAGCGTCATAAGTTGCAGAAATCGTGCCACAAAAAGGTTAGCTGAGTTTAAAAGAGTACAATAGATTGAGGATAGTCTTGGTCAAAGGATGGTGCAATCTTACTTCCGAGCAGAATTGCAAACAGTCACTTTGGTAGTGCAAACCTTGGTATCAGAATAATGAAACACTTGAATGGGTGTGGAGGCCAAATTTCCCCCGAAACAGGTGTTAAATACCAAAAATATACTCATAAATCAGGAGTTTAATCGATCGTGCCTTACAATCGCCTTGTGTCAATACTAGGAAAATCTTCCAATCAGTCCATAATCCCTAATGCATCATGCCGTAAAGTGTCACAAAATGACAATAATGACGTGGTTAATGTGAATACAATGAATTAATTATTTGTGCATGACCTTCGTTGGTTCCAAATTGCCATTGTTAAAGAAGAGTGAGAGGAGGACACGGTCATCCTTACGCGAAAAGACAAACACTAAAGCAAAGTGTAATCCAGGTGTTAGACCTCCGCCAATAGTAAGTCACAGTAGCCGGCCTTGCATGACATGGCCTGAAGAGATCCATGTTATGGAAATTGTAATGAGGAATCGGATTTCAACGGGAGGTGAGCATTTAAAACCAAATATAAAGAAGTAGATTAAGCCTCAATTCTAGCCATGGCTAATTCGACTTAACTCCTACTTCCGACCGTTTACTGTACAATTTGGTGGCTTGGAGCTATTGAAACATACTTAGGTAAGAGGTTGCTTACAAAAGAATCATTTCGAGACAAGACGTACATTTGTTCGCTCACTAGACGTCTGCACACCCAAGCACAAACACGATTTCTCATCACAAGTCAGTCAGTCTAACAAACAGTCAACAGGCAGCGTAAAATTCACCGCACCTTTCTACAACATGCACAAAGGAAGGAAACAATCACAAATTCACAGTCCTCGAAGCCTACTTTTGTCGCCTCCTAATGCATGCCTTGCCACATCCATTTCCTCAACTTCCACCACCTTTCCAACTAATGTACGCAACACGACATTGCTCCGACACCACTCAATTAAAACATTCATGGAAACCACCTTTGACACCCTAATCACTTAATTTTTGCCTAATCAACAGGGACACGCGATTCACCATTACTATCCAGAACAGAGGACTTCCCTCAATCTCCATCTTTCAGCTTTTCCTCACCAGAACCCAAGCATCCAGTCAAACCTTCATTCGGAGCAATACCTCCGGCTACCACCCTCTCTAAATGCCACACGATAAGCTTCTGCAGCTTTGCAACCGAGCCAACCTTGGTTTGCGAACCCACACGAGCTCGAATTACACCCAACAGGTTCAGACAAAATCCTGTAACTGAGAGGAGAAAAGTGGTGGAGAGCACTACCAGTAAAGCCATGCCAATAGACCAACATGCATCAATGTATAGTTCTACTCAATGTATTTCACCAGTACCATGCACGTCGCAGACCCCACAGGATACCAACAATTGGGACTGCCTATAACGACAAAGGCATTCAAAATGTGATTTCAATCACCAATTTTGCCACAGAAGGTACGATAACGGTCAGCGTGCATAACTAACTACTTCACTACCATTGATGAGTGTCTTGAGGAAGATCCTCAACTCCAAGTGTATATATTGGGAACAACACCCAGCAATCGTTGACACGGGCGATGGTGAAACGATTCAAAGTCCACTTTCGCATCAACTGGGGAGGGAAAGACGTGCCGAAAGCTGAGTCGGTGACTACATTTGTCACATACCCATGTCATTCGCAAACATATGACAGACAACGAGCCTCATAAACTATCAATTTGTGGTTCACTTCCTCCAAATGCGTTGTAGAAACTCGACCACTTTTCATTGCTTCCTGATTGACTGTCTCCAAAGCAAACTTCTTTAAAAACAGCCAGCATTCGACCTGGACCAGTCAATCCGTCAAAAGAAAGTTCCTCTCTTATTCCTACAAAGCAACTCAATGGAACACCTCATGCCACCGAAAAATTGCCCACGAGATCGGTGCCTCGGAGAAGTAGTGAGATATTGCATCATTCTTCGCAGCCCCCTCATGATACTCCTCCATGCTCCGTGTGATATTCACTTTCCATTGCCTTAGACAACCGCACGAGCATATGGGACGCAGAACAGGCTGTTGTTAAATAAAATTGAAAAAAATAGAGCATATATTGTCATGAGGATTACTCCACCGAATTTAGGGACTTAGTTCTTGTGAAGAATAGTATGGACTAAAGAAGACAATGGTCCGACACTACCCTCACTGTAACTTGTAAAGTCGTTAGTCGGGTTTGAAGCAAATGTTTGGCCTGGTCAATTGAAAAAGAGCAAATATATGTCCAAAATAGCAAAAAAACCTTACCTTGTGGACGACAATCAGATTGCAGCAGTACAGACGGTGGAATGTGCAAACAAATGCCATGGAATATCCTTCCAGCTCTATTGGCGAAGCAAACAATGTCTGGTTGGTTTTCATTCTCGTCTAATCGAAGACATATGAGGGTAGTAAAGTCAAAGGTGTAATAATCCTCGTTTGTAGGGAGAATTCGAACGAAGCGAACTAGCGGTTTGTTGATGGACATGGGGGACGCGCTTACCAGTAGTATGTCACCTGCACATATGGGGAGGAAGTAAATACAAGCTTAGCCTTCCAAAAGTCTACAACATTCACTAAATTAAGGTGAAATTACCGTTCTCGCAAATAACATAAATCGGTACGCGGAGAGGTGCATCATGTGAAAAGCGTGCTCCATCGGAGAAGAGCGGGGAGCCAAAATCGAAGTCACAACAGACGGCTCCCATCGCTTCGCTCAGATTCAGTCCTCGCGACACCCTGGTACGTCTATTTTCCTTGTCTGCATGGTCAGGTGCTTCAAGAAGATAAATGACGAGCTCATTTTCAAACTTGAGAGATCCACCCGAAGAGCAAATACAACGACAAAGTATGAGTCTGCCATCACTGATCAGTAGAACGAGCAGATTGGGGATATATGGATGCCACCGGACACGAACCAAGCGACTTATTGCAACAGAATCCCCAGATAAGGAATCAAAAACCGTTGTAAGCTTTGCAATTATTTTTGCCTACACAAATAAAGAAAACCAAGAAAAGCATATACTTGTTTTGAGTGCAAGAGAGACTCCGTTTTGGAAATGTCGGCGACGTGGGCAGAAGTCTCCGTAAGTATGGCTAAAAAGCTTCTGTCGGGTGAAATTAGCATAGACACGGGATATGATGACGGCTGTGGTGTAAGAAAGAATGTCTTCTTCCTCATACTATCATCTAATGAAAAAACGTGAACCTGGCATGCTTTGCCATCCAGAATAAAAACGCGATCATGGAAGTCTACAGAGGTTATTGGACCAAAGGGACATAACCTTTACTTAAACTATGCGAATTCTTTGCAAAATGAATGACTTGAGGAGTGAATGATGATTTTAATGGGGTGGAAGTAAGGTTTATCTCAGACAAAACTCTAGAAACCAGAGCACCCACCCCCACCTCCATTTCATTGGCCCGAGCTAATCCGAAGGAATTCAAACCGTGCGCCATTGATTCATGTGCCACAAAGTTAGGCTCTAATGTATTTTAATCAGGATAACATGTCGCTCTAACCAAATCCTCAGCTTTACAGAATGACTATTAAAATATCCATTTGTAACGCTGTTTAAAAAAACAAGCCAGTTACTCTACTAATGCTTTGCTGCATGGAATTAATGCCCAACTACCCATAGTACAGACAATTCTTTGGCATTATCGTGTAGTAGCCGTGTTGATCCATGACCTTATTCCATCTAATTATAGTCCGCATTATTTTCCTCAAAAACTTTTTTACAGTACATCTTAGTTCTAATGGAATTACTCGCTACCCATCTAAATTTGGCCTCAACGGTGTTTTTAGTCCTGATTCCTCAACACTGGTACCATTCTGCTTTTACTAGCTCTAGGTCACAATGGGTGAGTGTTCGTTGGCTGTGGGGCGCCTCCTGTTGTGGTCACTGTGTGCTTTCCCGTAGCTGATTTGCACAACTTAAACTGGGTATTCTCGTTATCTCTATATATTAATGGGGCTTTTGACAAGCATATCTAGTTGGTTGCTATGGTCTTTACCACTGGCCCTGTCGACGTTGTTTAACGTCAGATTTATATTTTTGAATCTTGGGAAGAACTGAAGTTAAGCGAAGGTTTAGGCGGTGTTCTTTTTTCTCTCTTTGTCACATATTAAATCTGCTTTTAAAGCTAGTTGGGGTTGGAGTTTGTGTATTTGTGAAGCTTTCAAAATGGTCACCATTACATGCTTCACGGTTTTTCATAAGGTTCTTACCTGTTTTTGTGTATTTTGATAGATTAGTGCTTTTTACTTCTTAGCATTAATTTTATCTGTATAGTGGTGTTTAATTTGCACCTCGGTTATCAGTACATCCTTATTCCGGCATTACAAGCTTTGGTTTGGACTACTATTATTATTCTACTGTCATCGAATTTTCCCTGCAAATTTCTTCCTCATATTTCTCAGAATGAAGTCCCGAGTCTTGGTTGCGGCTACTTGGGGTCTAATCACTCACAGACTGGGTCAACTTCCTAGCAACGATCTTGGTGAAAATTCCAATGCCGTCTCCCTTCATTACGCTGTAAATACTGCTAATCGCCTAATTGAAACCTACAAGGTTAGACACCATAGCAACCATTCTTCATGCCGCCTAGGATACAGTCGGTGCACCTGGAATCTCTGTCTGTGTTTCTGTTGGTGGAACCACAATTTATTCCAGAGGTTCGCCTTGTCTCACCGTACTCGATTCCGAATAAATATTTGATTACCGTAGCTACGATTTCTCCCCCTCAATAAGTTTACGTTGTTGGACATTTTTTTATGGCCTTAAACTTGTTCAGTTTGTTTATGAAATGAGTTCATTTAATTAGTCATTATAAAGTGATAGAGAGCACATATCACGTTTTTGTGGCGTTGGTATCAAGCATGGTTGTCCCCCAAAGGTTTCGGATTCGCCGATGTGGAACAAGGCGTCAAAATAACTCCACAAACTAAATTTAGGATAGCAAGCATAAGCAAGTCATTTACGTCTCTACTTGTCGGTCGTATGCTTGATCAGGGTCGGCTTGACCTCGATGCAGACATAACGACCTATCTGCCCGACTTTTCCCCAAAAACAAAGGAAGGCAAATCTGTAAGGTAGTTCTTAAACTCGTTTGGAGATATTTAGGCTCCAATATCAATGCGCCATCTGCTGAGTCATACAAGTGGTATCCGTCACTACTCAAAATCGAAAGAGGAGGAGGAAGATGAGGTGGGTGACTGACCGTTTCTGGTTTCTTACGTGTAACCACAGTACGCAGAAGAGATGCTCAGTACAAAGGCATACGACTCAGCTCAGGACTCTTTGGCCATATTTCGAGATGACGCACTACTGCATCTGCCTGGTGAGGACTATGTCTACAGCACTCACGGTTTCACGGTTGTGGCTGCGGTGTTGGAGGCCATTATGAGCAAAAAGCAGCCATTGTGCCCTCTGTTTGAGCGACCAGACCGTCTCAAAGCGCCTGCTATGGGTGATAACAAAAAATTGCCTGATGAGGCCAAATCATCCTCAATGTTCAAACAACTATTTGCCTTCCTCGGTCTTCAAAACACTTGTCTGGATGAACCTTACAAGATAGTTCCCTTCCGTGCAAGGTGAGTTGGATTGTTGCATCTATTCATTTCTTCACTCGTGTCTTTCAGAATTTGAAACACCCAGCTTCGATTCAGCTGTGCCATGTTGATGCTTCACAAAACAATTGACTTTGTTGTGAAGGTGTGAAGTGTACGAAGTGATCAAGAAATTTCATGCAGATCTTTATGATAAGAATCAAATAATTGTAGAGAGCTACTTCAAATATTCCACTTGTTGAAATAATCACTGTACAGACTTCTTTCCGAACTGGGCACGAGCTTGATGCAACGTTCCGTCCTTAAAAACCGAAAGATGTAAGCCATAGTCGCTTTCAACTCGCCCTCGATTTTATGTCAGAGCGGCCTGTTCTACGTCCCATATGCTTGTGCAGTTGTCTAAGGT